ACCACAGAAAGGAACAGCTATTTGGCCCTCGCAGGAAAAAGTTTGGGGACCCCTGACCTTAACATATAGATGTGATGTGGAATTCCGGTTTTGATTGAGTTACAAGATTTGTTAAAAAAAAAGAGGCAATTTAAAGCACCAACTTTGACAGATCATCAGTATAGCAGGTGTTTAAATTAGCTAATCTAACATGGCGGTGGTAGATTAGCTAATAGCAGTAGGAGCTAATCTAACACGGCGGTGGTAGATTAGCTAATAGCAGTAGGAGCTAATCTAACACGGCGGTGGTAGATTAGCTAATAGCAGTAGGAGCTAATCTAACACGGCGGTGGTAGATTAGCTAATAGCAGCGCTAGCTAATCTACCACAGCGATCACTTACTAATAATCACAAAATAAACATGAAGCCTAAAATCATAAAACTAACAGAGTGAATGTTCTGTATTTTGTGTGGGAAATGTTTGAGTATTTTTTGGTGTTGAATCCTGAAACATATAATGGGGTTGTTGTCAGTTGCTATGGCAACGAGTCTGCGTAGCGTAGCCGACACAGAGATCGAGAAAAAATGTGGTTTTGAGTTGTTCTTTACCTATTTTTCTGCCTCATTTTTCGTTTTGCTGTGGTGCTCTACACTAAATTAATAATAGCAGTACAGCAGAGGATGGCATTTAAAAGAATCGTCTTTTTGCCCTCCAGCATTATGCGAAATTTCCGGATGTAAACAATAACATGCAAGGGCTCCATAGACAGTAATCACAACACTACCCCAGTTTTCTAGCATTTTTTTCTTTGTAACTCAACAAAAGAGAGTTTATAAATATGAGCAATACATATTTATAAGTTCTGATAACAGCGTTTGTCTTGATATGAGGTTACTGGAAAGGTCTTTAAATAAAATGGGGACACACAATGTTAGCATTGTTATTTAAATCCGACTATATGACTGGGTTATTTGCCTGGATCATATTGTAAATCTCTGGATATAAACTGGGTTTAAAGTCCCCTGTAATATGATTGAATTAATCCATGTTTATCCCCCCTGATCACTGGTGGAAGTGATGTTTCCTTCGCCACATGTTCAGTTAGCATAATCCTGTTTAATTCTTGAGAATCACACTCCTAATAATGTGTATGTCAGGCATGAAACACAATATAAACTGGTTTACCTAAAGATTTATTCATATTTATTGTAAAATATAGGATAATTACTACCAAAGAATCAATATAATATTTTGGAACAATTATAGTGGTAGCCTCAGCACCAGCAAATGTATTGATTACTAAAGAATTAAACAAAATATACCATAATATGCATTAAAATGCATATTATTTAATGCTGTCACTACTGCAGAAGCTAACAGCTACAGTTTTCCTTATCTTTTGAAGGTTCAGCTAATCAGCAGTAAGAAAACTAAATGCAGCTGCTGGATTGACCGCATTGCGGCTAAGTATTTAAGCTTCCCATGCTGCATTTTTGTTCAAATAGATGAAAAAAAAGTTTAAATATCCAAGTTTTCCTCAAGTAATTTCCACAGAAAAATCCGTGGTTTGAAACAAATTGGTAGAAATGATAGAAGCATCTGTTGTATTAGCTTAATTATAGCTAATCACAATGTGAACAAAGGGTTACTATACTGTAAGAGGTTTATTCATTGTTGAAAGTATTGAGAACTGCAATTGAAAAAAAAGAAGGATCCTTTAGGATTTACAGAGCTTTTATATTTTTATGATTTATACATCCTCAACTCAGGGAACAGATAATCAAATCAACTTTATGTGAGTGCATCTTTGCTTTTTCTCCTCTGCATCAGGCAATGGAAAGGAATAAAAAGAGCAGCTCATGTAGCAAATTAACTTTAAAAGCCTATTTAACTAAAAAAAAAAAAAAAGAAAGAAAAGAAATCTCTGTGACTGTAGATGAGGATGATGAAAGTTGTTCCACGTTCAGAGGCAGCTTTCGCTGAAAGGCAGCAATCAGAGAGAGGAGCAATCAGCAATCAACCCCATTCTTCCAGATTATACAACCAAGAGAGCCTGAAGATTGTTTTGTTGCATCTGCTGCAGCTTTATGACCCCACATCATCACCTACAAGGAAGGAGCTTTGCCTGTGAAAACGTTTCAGACGCATAAACATGCGACGCATGAACACCGTCTCGGATGAAGAGTTGATTACATGGTGTTGTTTGCCAATATGCAGGATCAATACTGATGCATCATGCTGTTTCATGCAGCCTGCAGCTGGTCAGTCTTTACAGTTTGTAAAGATGTTTTTTAGGGTTTAATATCCAGTTATCATTAATTATGCAGAGGGAGGTTACTGATATCAAGCTAAACAAAATTTTTAAAAAGTTGCAATTTCAAAACAGCTCAATTTTTATGTCATCCAGTGGTGAACCGTCCTTTAAATTAGACTAAATTGAAAGTTTTTCCAAGTCTGTATGGAGCATGCCCTTCCCCCACATGCTGCTGCACACTGTTGGTCAGCTGGTAGAATCAAAACATACAATTTCAGCAATTAGGAAACTAAATAAAAATTGAAAAGATTTTAGATTGAATCCTTTAACTTTGATTTCCAACATCACAAATTAACTTTTAAATCAATTCCATGTCATTGATTGTTTTGATTTTTAAGTGACTGACAGACTGAGACTGGGTTAGCAAATACAGACAAAAAACTCCTGTTTGGTTTTTAGAAACAAAAAAGTTCACATACTTCAATTTGAAAAATCGAGCTTAGAAGTCTAAAATGTTCAGATTTTGAAATAGAACCAAAATAAGTTGATCTGGATGCCAAAAAGTGGTGAAATAGATACAAATAACCACTATTAAACTGGAAACCAGTTTGTTTCTTCATAATTTAAGGAAGATAATAAACTTAAGAAACTTAGACTGAGTTTAGTGTCATTGCTACTACTGCAGGCAAGATAAAAATCTAGAATAAATAAAGTAAAATAACACAATTAGTGTTTTGTACTATATAATAAAAATTGTTGAAAAATATCAAAATTTTTAATCTGAAATGTTTAAATTGAAAATCGAAGGTAAGCCTCAATGTCTGTTATTAATAATAATCAAATTTGACTAAAACCCAAATAAATTTTACATTTGATGCATACACAATATCTGCTTGTGATTGGCCGGCAGGTTGTAGAAAACAACACATAGACGAGCATTTCCTGTGGTTCTGCAGTAACTTCTGATGCATTTACCTTTTCTCACTTTGAACATACTACATTATTAAGAGGCGCCGCTTTACAGGGCGGTGAAACGTTTCTGTGGTCTTCCTGTGAAAATCCATCAGGATCACAGGGGGAAAACCCAGCAGCTCTAAAATTTCTACATTTTTACTCGGCATTCATTTTTATCTGACAGCTTCACTTTGCAGCCTCTGTATAGATTAAAACAGGTTGAATATGACTTAAAAAAGTGTGAAATTAATTGCATTTTCGCTCAGAGTAACTGTGCATCAATGCAGCTGACTTGGTTCTGCTAAGATATTAAAGAAAACTCAGGTTACTTGAATATCTTCCTTCATCTCATGAATTCTCGTCTCATGCTGTGTCATTTTCCATTTTTAAAAAAACTGCTTGGATTTGCTGCTAAATTAAGAACAGTAAAATTAACGTTTTGTTATTTGCTGGAAAATAAATCCTCATATACGTTGATAGCGTAACAGTAGATCAACACTACGAAATGACATCTTCACAAAATGGAAACTTCAGGAACTTTAATTCTGTGTTTTTCCACTTCTGTTCAGTTTTTTGGACCTTGATGTTAAAAATAAAAGCAAAATTCACCTTTATTTTTACAAACTAGCACATTGGACTACCAGGCAACAGTCCAACCAGTCCATTTTCTTCTTTGCACCTGCACATTTTCCATCATACTTTTTCCTTCCACTCAACTTTCCATAAACATGTATGGAAATAACGTCCCTTCTTCAATAACTGTCTTCTGGACAACTATTAAGTCAACAGTCTTCCAAATTAACACCTTCACACCTCAACTACCTTCTGAAAAGTAGTTTTGCAATGTATAAGCATTTAAAATATTCATTTTTAACCTACATGCAAAATTTATTTTAAAAAGGAATATCTGAAGTTTCAGTAATATATTTAAAACATATTAAATGTAAAGTATATTTTAGAAAAATAGATCTTTAAATTAAATGCACCAAAATTGTTTTTAAAAATGTATTTAAATTTCGAATATATTAAAAAGTACATCCAATTGGTAACATATTCGAAATGTATTTAAGAGAAATATATCCTACTTAAATATATATTTAAGTTGATTATTTTTCACATGAGTTAGAAATAATTTATATTTTCTTATAAGAAAAATTCAGATGTTATAAGTTTAGCTTGATTTAAAAAAGTGAAAAACACCACTTTGGTGGGGTTTTATTATTTTTTAAGCAGATATAAGTTAACTTTTGAATCTTTAAAATCAAAGTAGCCCCTCTCTGGTGACGGATGCTGAAGATGAGCTGATGAACAGGTGAGAGGTTACCTCCTCGAACAGCTCCAGGCTGTACGTGTTGTCGTCATCCGCGAAGAAAACCACGCCGGAGTCGCGCTTGCCGCGGTGCTGCCGGAGCCACGCGAGAGCCGCGTTCCTCTGCTCGGTGGCGCGTGGCATCCCGGCGCGCTTGAACCTGCGGGGAGTGAACACGTGCAGGTGCGTGTACGGCACGCCGCTCCGGGCCAGGAAGCGCGTCACCAGGTCGGTGCGGGAGGTCGAGTCCTCCACGACGATCCAGTGGATTCGGGGCACCTGGCGGAAGACGTGGGCCAGCCGGGTCAGCTCGGCTTTCTGCACCGGGCGGCTGTACGTCGGGGTGATGGCGTAGATGATGGGCAGCGATGACTGGTTCTGGGCGCCGCCGGCTCCCGGTGAGCCGCCCCGGGGGTTCCGCTGCGCCCTGCCGGTCCGCCCAGCCGCCGGAGCCCGGATCGCCCTTTTACTGTCGATGTCGATCATTATGATGACAATAAGGACCCAGGGCAAGAGGATGAAGAAGCGACTGAAAAACACTGATTTCATGGCGGATCTGAACTTACAGCGCGCTCTTTGTATCACTCCATCACAAACAGAAAGGATCCAGAAACTCCAAGATAAAAAATAAATCAATTCTTTTCCTCCGAAATCCGGATCAAACTATGTAAAGCTTGTAAGCCATCCTCTGCGTCCCGCTTCCCCGGAGTCCTTCCTCCTCCTCCCCCTCTTGCTCCAAGTCCTTCACCGCTCTCTGATGGGACCTCTGCGCCTCCTCGTCGTCCTTCCCTCCTCCAGCTCACTCCCTCAGAAACCCCCCCATCAAATTCCCATGTTCGGCCGCCTCTCAGTGCACGTTTCCCCGCGGAAGAAACCAGACCGCGGCGGAGCTCCGTGCATCGATGAAGCGCCACCGAGGAGCATCACTTGGCGAGGATAGAGCGCAGATCCGAGTCAGAGGATAATAAGCGAGGCAGGAGGGGAGGAGCAGGTGCAGAGGAGAGGAGAGGGAGCCGGGATACTGGAGGGAAGCAGGCGAGGGAGGAGGAGAAGGAGGAAGAGGAGGAGAGAGAGAGCTTCAGTGTCCACTGAGAGTTCACGCAGCTGATAGAGAGAGGAGCTTGTGTTGCTCAGGCGGCACTTGTCAGGGATGAATTATTAAACAAAAACACAGGAATATGATACCTGCGTGTTATAAATAAATCCAAAGGACTCTAAAGGTCATATTTTATTTCTTTCATAAATCTGTTGCATGATTTTTTAGAATGTTTTGGTTTGGTGTTTTTCTTTATTTGTCGTTCTTTGTTGTCATATTCAGTTAATTTCTGTATTGCCATCTGAGTCTTGCCATCATTCCTTTGTGATGAGTTTTCATCGTATTTACTTTTATCTTTACATTTTTTGTGTGCATTGTACCACTCTTTGCTTTGTACAGAGGGTCCAGACCCCCAGCCGCTTAAGACGACGCTGAGGTTTTAAGCTTTACCTAATTGCTAATATTTGCCGCTGATGTATGTAATGTACCAGTTTGACACTATGAAGCTTACCGAAAATCGCCTGTGCTGTAAACAACCGTCCTCCACTGCACCCTGTCAAACTACTGTATGTGGAAGTAAATCACTTCATTATCATGGTAAAAGCAGTTTTTGTTCTGTACTTTAAGTAAAATTTAAATTTAAAGCATTTTTTTTTTTCTGAAATATCGCTAAATATAGCAAAAAAGTGGTTGAGTTGGCAGCAGTGGAGTTACTATTGTTAATTGCAAACGTGCAGACATGACCTGGTGGGCTGGTCTGTCAGACAAACTGCTCTCACAGGAGAGCAGAGGAGGACAGAGGGTGATTTTTACACCTTTGTTAAGGTAGGTAAGATCGGCTTCATTGATCTCCTAAAATTAAGGAAATCAGCTGGCAGAAAAATCGGTGGACCCTTATTTCTAATTTTTGGTGAGCTGTTCTTGGCCAGGCTTCTCTTTAAAAAGAGACTTTTAATCTCAATGAGACAAACCTGGTTAAACAAAGGTTACAACCAAACAGATGTATGGCTGATAGCCGCTTGCCTTGTGTCATTGACTCACGTCATAAAAGTAAAAACCTGTCTGTAATCGTAGCACTAACTTGAACTTTGTTCCCGCAAATTAAAATAAATAATTAAGGGTGTTGTTTGGGAAAAGATTCACAATTTTTACATTTACACAGGTTAATCTTAAACCTGTGATGAGAAGCGAGTTAGAGATCCATTTTCTGGGTGTTTGACACAGATGAAGTTGCGGCGCTTTCTCTCTTAACGGTGTTCTGCACTTCAGGCGAGAAGCTAATCATTGATGGGTAATTATGCACACAACACGGATCAAGGGATCTGTTGGGAGAAAAAGCGAGAAGAAATCACTGAGCTACGCTAATAGAGTTGGTTCACACCAAACTAATTGCAGGAAAACAAGCTCATAATTCCACAGCATGAAAGCACCATTGATTGGGAGGACCAGATAGCAGGCAGGGATTTTCTTTTTTCCAGTGCAAAGTGGGTTTTTAGAAGAGGCCAGCAGCTAAAAACAACATTTTGCAATATGTTTGGCTTAATGACACTTATAGGGTTTTACATTGCCCTCAAGCAAAATAACTTTTGGAAGAATAATCAATCTCATGCTCGGTGATTTGGGTGAAAACCAAATAATGGGCTTATTCAGTGATAAATCACTTTTAGTAGGCTGGCGTGACGATAGCAGGGGGCTTAATGGGCTCCAGTCCAATATTACATTGTCATGCTTTATCAAACTTGATTGCACGTTCTTCCATCTGTTCACACGCGACAATTTGGGGATTAAGAAGATGGATCAGGTGAGATGTTGGTTCAAATGAGGATCATTTTGACTGAAATTGAATCAGCAGCCAGCAATGAAGAGGGACAGCACTTTGAATGGATATGATTGATCGCCTTAAAGATTGAACAGAAAAATTGAAAATTAGCTGCATTTCCATTGACCATGTAGTTGTGTAATTTGACATTTTGAAAATACATTTTCCTAATGGAAACATGCCATTTAAAAAACAAACAAACTTGTTTTCTGATAAAAAGATTTTCTAAAACCATTTTGAAATTGATTTACGTATTTCGAAAAACTTTTTTCGCATTTGATTTCAATTGCATTTCTTATTTAATGAAAAACATCATAATAATAAAATTGTGTTTTTGCGACATTATCGTAATATTGACAGGTTTTCTAGTGTCTTTAATCAGGTCGTGATTATTATCTTACTCTACGAACTAATAAATAGTGGCATCAAGTTTTGGAAGAAAAACAAATAAAATTTTCAAACTTTGCAGCTTTAACTTTTGTATTGATTATTGTGATTATTTGTATAGCTGAAACCAGATATTGATCAGTGATCTGATTTACTTGCACAGCCCTCGTTTATGTCCAATATGTGTATCTCCAATAATAAGTGTTTGAAAGAATCAAAGTAATGCTCCAGGTATGTTTTTGATGGGTGAATAACATTAAAGCATGACGTAAAGCTCAGAAAGTTGATTTAACCTAATGCTGCACCTTTACGAAGAACAAAATCAATGTTTTGAAGTGGCCATTATAGCAAGAAATGCTGAGGGAACCATAAAACAGCAAAACATCCTGATGCAAACCGTGTGCAGAACCCCTGTTTATTCTAAGGTTGTGATTTTTCTTCTAGCATTTCTGTTCATGAACTAAGTGATGAATAAAGAGAAGCGTCTTACAACAATCCAGGAACATTTTGATAATGAGCTGAGGATCTTCCAGTGTAATAAATCACTCTGATAAAGTCTGGAAATTAAACATTTTGACTCTTGACTTGAAAAATCTACAAATCTCGACTCCTCTGGGTATCTTGAGTTTGTTTTCAAATGGAAGAGACCTTTAATCAGTATATCAGAATGACTTACAATGAGTCAGGATTTGCTCCAGAAGTTAATCAAAACCTTTGTAACCCTTCAAACTTTTCTTAGAAATGTGAAAAACAGGAAAAGTTGTGACTATAGCTGCACTATTTGAAGGTATTAGAAGTTGTACTAATCATGCTGATCTTCTGTCTCCAGCATCAAGTTTTGTGGAAATCTTTTTCCATCTGTGCCTCCTGTCGCGCTGTTTTTCTTGTCAGTCAGATGTCAAACTGTCTCCACAGTCACCTTGTTTATGTTAGCAACGCAGTTCCATGCAGAGGCAATTAGTAATCTTGACTGTCAAATGAGCTTCGTTACGAAATTATATGTTTAAAAATAGACAAACGTCTTAATAAAGCAGCAGTGAATAATAATAACACAAAACATCTTATAACTGTGCAGATTTAAGCTGAAAAACTTCATTTCAGCATTAATATTTCAACAAACCTTGAAGCTTTGCACATATTTTTGCATTCTGACTATTAAAACTGACATATAGGGGAATTATTTTATGCTAATATCTCTGTGCTCTGGAGGCATCATTAAGGTTCAGTGGTCAGACATTAAAGTGTGAAATTAGACCTGAGCTAATGAAGAGCAGCAGGTAAATTCACTCTGAGACTGCATGACCTCCACCAAAGCTGAATGAAAAATGACTCCCTGGTTCAGATTTACTTCCATCATTATTCCTGACCACATAATTGCACAGTGGAAGAAAAATTATAATTTTTTTGTTTTAAAGAATCAGAAAAGTCTAAAGTGCAAAGCTTTTAAGAACATTCATGTATTTCTGAGTGGTTTCTTTTCACTTTGCATTTCTGCACCAGAAATCAGCGTCATGCTGCGTTGATGCAGCAATTCATGCAAAAGGAACCCCAACCAAATTCACTGTATGCATGCACTGTAAAGCACGTTTTCTCAGCAGGGTAAATTTTTAGATGCATTTATAAAAATCTAAATGATCAGAAATAAATGCTTAAAATATGTCACACTGTGTGTAGCAGGGTAATTATAGTTTTGGGGATTTTCATTATAGTTCTGTTTTATTTAGTTTGCTAGTTTTAATTAGTGTGTTTGCTAGTTTCTATCAGTTATTATTAGTTAAGTATTGTTTAGTCTTTGTTTGTTTTTATTAGTAAAAGCAGTAGCTTTATTTTTTTTAATACTTTGGTTAATTTTTAGGTGCAGAATTCAAAACAGTAAAAGTATTGTGCTTATGTATACAAGACTGACTTTAGACAAGGACCCGACAAGAGACAAAGACAACAGGTTGACTTAAATACGCAGGGAGGGTAATCAGGGAATGAGACACACCTGGGAAGCAATCAACAGGTAAGACAGGACAGGGACAGGGCTAAACACAGAAAACCTAAAAAAATAACTACACAGAAAATACAGAACACAACAATTGAAGATCAAAATGTATTCAATTATTGTTGAACAACCATTTTACAGATTAGCATAAGCCGGAGGCGTGGATTTCCAGCGAACACTCTTTACAAGGTAAGACTATTGTTCATATACTTTACAAGTAAGTATGATTATAGATACCAAATATCGCATTATGGAGAAGGTGAATCTAACCGTTGGTAACCATGGAGACAGTGCTGCGCCGTCATGTAGCCTAGCATGTATTTTTTTAAAAAAGAAGCTGGTTATCATTTCGTGTTTTGTGCGTTTTTAAGGCTCGGCGTAAGGGGGGAACGCTGCTTATGACAGTGATATAAATAATGTGGTGTGAATTCAGTCAAAGTCGGTAATTTGGGTGGGTTTTTAAGCTAGCTATCCAACTTTTGTGAATACCGCCGTCTATGAGCTCCAATCAGGTGTGTTAAATTCACTGACAAATTAGCTCGACTGGAACAAGTAGAGGCCATGAATGAACTGGAAAAAACAACTTTGGAAAACATTTTCAGTTGCTCTGTTCAATGCTACTGTCCCTCACCTCCTATCTGTGTCATGGCGCCTCTTATGATTAAGTGAGTAGTTGCAAAGGGTCAATCGTTCCAGTTTGTTATAGTTTGTTCTCATAATAACCGTTTTTATTTATTTCTGCTTACAAAAAAATGTTTTCTCAATTTCAGTTTTCATTATTTCATTAACTTTAGTTAACGATAATAACCTTAGTGTGTAGTGAAACTGTCATTTTTAAATTGAATTACAGAAAGAAAAGGTCTTTTCAGCAATATTAAAAAGTATCTAGGTGCGCTTTTGCTAATAACTGGACTAGCTCCTGTTAAGCTCAACGCAGATCAGACTGGAGCAGAATGTGTCAGAGCAAAGAGAGAATAACTGAGACTGAAAGAATAATATGTTCACAATGCCCCGAAGGATGCAGATGCGCCGTACCATCCTCACCGCTGCCCTCCTTCAAACACTGCTGAGACGGATGATTGAAGATGGAAACAACAAAGGAGGAAGTGAAAGCACAGCCAGCAGGAGAACTGAGAGAGTAAAACACAGGGAATGACTGAATGAAAGCAACCACGGCAGTAAGAACAAATGAATGAAAAAGAAGGGTGCATGAGGAGGAAGTGGAGCAGAGGGGGATTGGTAAAGATGGATGTTAGCAGCTGAGAATCATCCCGCAGACCTCCAAGTCGGAGCAGCTTCAGAAATGCCACGACCGACAAACTGGTGCACACCGGCTTCCCCACGCACATAAATCACAGCCGAAAATGCAATTATATGATAATTCACAGCACAATTCAATTCAGAGGCGCTATTCAGATCCACTCAGAAATGGCAACGCCATCACAACACATTTGTCAACACCATTAGCATAGAAATAAGATTCAGTCCAGCTCCTGCAGGCTGCCGAGTTACGATCCACTCTGAGAAGGAATGAGCTGCAGTCCAGAGGCGACGCTTGACATTTGATGGCATCAGCTTTCAAGAAAGTCAAGAGTTTAATACTGTTAGATGTTAGACTGATCAGTCCTCTGACTCCTGACATTCTTTTAAATACGGATCTTAGTGATGGATCTTCCTCAGAATGCATTTGACTGAATTTATGGCTCATAATGCCGACAAAGAAATGCTTTTGACATTTGGATGTCAATCACACAAACATCCTGACATTTAAAGTCTTCGTATTTAATGAGGCGTTGCAAAAAGTACAGACCCTGTGTTGTATCTGTTATATAACAGAACCAAAATGTACAAATTCAGATTTTTTTTTTTACTACTTTGCAGGAAGAGCTGAATGGCAGAGTGCTGAAGTTTTCAAATTGTATTAGATTAGAGTGGAAAAGTAATAAGAAGACTAGGACTTTCTGCCAATTCCAGGAACGGAGAGCAGAAAAGGATTTCACAGCAACAGCGTTCACAATGCAGCACTCACAGCTCATCTGCCGTGACATTTTAAACCGATTCATTTTGAGTGTTTTTGTCAAACTGCTGCTCAGAAATTTATACAACTGGAACGTTTCTATAAAAAATGTTTGGTCACAGATGGTTTGAATACATTGATATGAAAAAGAATTTGCTCCTCACAGATTTATATCGCAAAATCAAGAAAGACCTTAAAAGATCTCTGGAAGAAACACAATGTGGCTCTTAAAGAAATTTAAGAATATAAATATAAAACAACACCTGGGAAACATGTTGTTTTTAGGGTTAGTTAAGTTTTCTGGGAGTGACCAGCCAACCAGCAAAGACTAAAACCACTCATGGTAAATTACTGTAGCATAACGAAAGAAAGTAAAGTTAGAATACCGACCAAAAATAAATTATTCTAGTTGTTATTAATTGAAGGAAACTCTAAACATGTTAGTTTTTATTCTTGATTTAAAGGAACTCATTTTTGCAGATTTTTGGTGCATAGAAGCTGAATTCTGCTTCTCCATGTTTGGTTCTGGGGATGCAGAGCAGACCGTTGAGTGATTTATAAACTAACAGCAGTATTTTAAAGTCTATTCTCTGAGCTACAGGGAGCCGATGTAAGGACTTTCAAACTGGGTGATGTGCTCCATCTTCCTGGTTTTAGTCAGAACACCAGCAGCAGCGTTCTGGATCAGCTGCAGCTGGATGATTGATTTAGACAGATCTGTAAAGACGCTGTTGCATTGTATGAGTTTCCCTTGATCTTGCGGCGACATTTGTCCTTTAATCCTTGTAATGTTCTGCAGGTGATAAAAGACTGACTTTGTAATCGTCTTTGTGTCTCTGAAGGTTCAGGTCTGAGTCCATCTCTACACTCAGATTTCACTGCTGATCTCTAGTTTCTTACTGTAATAGCTGAAGCTGTTCGTTAATTTTAAATTGTTTGTATCTAATAGTAACTTTAGTTTTGTTTCTATTCAGTAGAAGAAAGTTTTGGCGAATCACTCGGTGCTTAAATGGTGACATTGTAACTTAGCGCTGTCTCATCTGCATAATTATGGGGAAAGGGATGTTTTTTAACTCATTTACATACAAAGCAGTTTCTAATGGTTTTTGATTTTTTTTTCTACTGAAATAACATTTCCATAAAAAATACAAACTGCTTAATTCTCCCCCAGCTTAGCAAACATACAGAATTTGCATAGAATAAAGTAATTATTCTCCATGTATGAGTTCATTTTCATTCCTGCTCTCACATTTTAATAGAGGAGCTCAGTCTCTTTGGATTGCTTGATACGCAAGTCTTTTAATATTTTTTTTTCTTTCAATTTTCAAGCTTTTCGACAAAGCCCAGTCATCCACAGAAGGACACTCAAAGCGTGAGATTGTTTCAGACCCATAGCCAGCAGAAAGTCGGCTCTGGAGAAATTGGCTTTTGAAGAAGGCAGCTGGGAGTTCTTGTTTGCTTTCTTTTCTGCTTCCTCAGAATCTGCAATTTAATTCAGTTCAACTCATGTAAGCACAAAAGTACAGCTGTTGATGGTTTTGTGATTAAACTCATCATGTTAAAAGGAAACTCGGTAAAAATTAAAAGTAAAACCAGTTAAACAGCCCTCCAACAGCCAGCTCAATATTTCCATCTGTATAAACTCCCTTTAGCTCATAACTGACTGCAATTTATCTGACATAACGTAAACAAAAACCTTCACAAATCGAAGATTAGGGACCAAATTACGTTCAAACTGTACCACTCCTTCTTGTCAGAATGTGTTGCTCCTGTTTTACATCAGATTATGGATGTTTAATATGTTTCATGGCGTATTTTAACGATTATTTTACAAATGCAGTTTGGAAAAAGTGAAACCCAAATAAGAAGTGCTAAATAAATAAAGTAATGACAGCAAAATAGTTTTTGTAACTTGCAAGAAGACAACAAATTCACAGCAAATTCAGAGCTTTCAACATAATCCTGGTGAGAAGTTTGGACTGCTGAATAATTTGGCAGATTTTCATGCACTGCAAAACATTTGAAGTTGGTTTAACTTGAAAATGCAATTCAAGTCAACAAAAAATTGTTTGGGTTTTAAAATCAGAAATTGATTTAATAAGAAAAAAATAGTCTAAAATGTTTTTTTTAGGTTAATTAATCTTGAACTGTGAGTTTTAAATTAATGCTGCTATTTTAGTCAAATATTTCACAATTTGCTATTAAAACTGCTGTAAGTTTATTTTTCACAAACTCACACATTTTGTTTCAAGATCTAAAACTCGCTACATTAATTTGACTTAAAGAGTAGAAGATAGATGCAACTAAATGTGGCTCAGATGTTTTACAGTGTGTCTGTCGGACTCTGAGGAGACATCTTGGTGCTTCATCACTTTGTTCCACTTTCATTTCAACACTTTGATTTGCTCCACTGGAGTCTGGTGTGTCAAAACGAGGACACAGAAAGCAAACTAATTATAGGTCCCCCCTCTGGTGGGACTTGTGCATTTTGCTGGGATGCAGATGAGCTGTTCCTATGTCTGGAGTCCAGGCAGGACGGGATCTGAGGAGGCTTTTATCCGTAACATTTAAACCTCTCCACATGTCGGCAAGCTTCAGGGTAATTTATTTGTGAAGTAGAAGGAACATGATGCATGGTTTTTAGAGTGAAATAATACGAAATGTCTCCTTTTGCGTTTTTGGGGTAGGTCTCTACCATAGATTAAGAGCAAGACTTTGACTAGGACAGTGTTTCCCAACCCTGGTCCTCAAGGCACACTGTCCTACATGGTTTAGAGGTTCCCCTGCTTTAATGTGCCTGATTCAGCTGATTGCAGTTCAGCAAATGCCTGTTAATCAGTCATCGATTGAAATCAGCTGGACTGAAAGGAAATACCTAAAACATGCAGGGCAGTGTGCCTTGAGGACCAGGGTTGGGAAACACTGGACTAACACATGAATATAGTTTGATCTACAGCATTGCATTTAACAAACACCTCTAACCTGAAATGAAAACATTGTTCTTTTATTCTATGAACTACTGACATGTCTGTGAAATTCCTAGCAAAAATGTAGTATTTATGTGCAGAAAATGAGAAATGGTCAAAATAACGAACAAGATAATGCAAATAAAACAAGTTTGTATTCTTTTAGAAACAACAATACTAATGTTTTAACTCAAGAAGAGTTCAGAAATCAATATTTGATGAAATAACCATGAGCCCGTTGTTTTTTTTAGTTAAAAAATGTTTAAAGACGACAGGAAATTTCAAAATACCACTTGATAATTATGTGTTATTGAATTGAATTATGTGTTATTAAAAAGACTTAAATAAATAAGCAATGCTAAGCCTGGTGGGGGCACAAGGAAAGCCTGGTGGCCCGCCAGGCTTATAATACACTGGGGGGAAACCCTGCATTTTATTTCTGTTCCTAGTTTTTCTTTTCTGTTCTTTAGCAGAAAACAACATGGATATGTTGCTTTTTGTGGCATGTTGAAATGTATGGAAAATAGAACATGATTTCCAACTTAATGACAAAAAATAGATATGAAACAATATCACTGATATTTTTAGTGTCATTCTGTCATGAAAACTCAATTTACAACTGGAAAATACAGCTTAAATCAGCATTTGTTGTTAAATTTATGTAGATTATACCTTTATTAAAGAAAGGAAAGGACAAGCAAACAGTAAGGGGTAAAATCTACATTTACTCCAAACATTCCTAAAAAGTTTCCCTTCTTTTTCTTCTGACTGGACTAGATAAAACTATAAAGATATTTTTGGCTGTCTGCTGTTTACCCATCTCTCTCTGCGTTTTATCTTCTTTTTCCTTTTGTTGATTTTTAGGCTCATCTTCTCCCCCTCTGCGTTCCATCTCATTCCCCTTCCTCCTTCCTTTGATATTAATCTTGTTTATTTGCTCTCTTTCAGGGAGAGCTGACGCAACCTAAGCTGATTTATTTAACTGGAAAAAAAAGAAGTTATGGAGGCAATACGGTTCAGAGGTGTGAAAAACACACACACACACAGAGCAGTTGGGTGATTTTAATCTAGGAGCAGCTGTGGGGACATGGATACTGGGTCTGCCAGGTCCCCCAAAGTGGGAATATGTGTGCATGTAAAGGTATGGCATGATATCTGTTGGCTCTCAGCCTGACTTTATCTTTGCAGAAAACCCAACACTCGGCCTGGACGCACATACTCCACATCGCGCAGCCTCTGCAGTGACATTGATGTCTGTAACTGTGCCAGGACAGGAGAGCTTCTTGAGCGCCCAGCAGCCAAACAAACTGCAGCTTAACTAACCTTGAACTGCTGACAACATGAAGCGCCATTAGCATAATAAACAAACCCTTCGGAAACACAGCGGCGGGGTGCGTCCAGCCTGCTCTGGCTTCACAAAATGTCAATATGTGTTTTGGTTTCAAACACAAATTTTTAAATGAGCTAAATGACTGTGAGTCATACAGTTGATGACTTTGGCCATCTCTATAGAAACATGAAGCATGTGTGTTAGCACAACGCCAGGACGGAAAGGCAACAGCAGTGACCTTAGAGAAGCAGCTGTTGGAGAACATTCAGGGATTGTTCACCCACAGGCCTGATAACACATTTTTCTGGACGATAAATTGTCCTAGAACTTATTGTGATAAATGATAATATTATCTTGAGAGCATTTTCAAGTAATATGATAATGCAAGAAAATATCTTCAGTGATCAATAAACTTTAAATTCTGATGAACAATTAAACACTGGAACCGGAGGACATTTGAAATATCCAAAATAAATAAAGAAAACAACAGAAACGACAAATAAAATTAACTGTAAAGTCTCTGTAAAGAAAATCATCTCAAGAAAAGGGACACTCGAGACCAAAGAACCAGACTGAAGATCACTTTTGGTCAAAAGAGAAAACAGAGAAATGATGAATGAAGCAAATGAAAATTATCGAGTTTCTTGTAATTTATTATGTGATTAAGTGATTTATTGTTTATTGTCTCAGGTGTCTGCGACAGACTGGCGACCTGTCCAGGATGTACCCTGCCTCTCGCCCGGAACGTTAGCTGGAGATAGGCACCAGCACCCCTCCCGACCCCACTGAGGGACAAGGGTGTTCAGAAAATCGATGGATGGATGGATGGATGTCTCGGGTGTATTCACCCAATTACTAGAAACCAAGATAAGCAGAGCCAGAAAACTATGCTGAAAATCTTGCCAAGTATTTTTGGTTTATATTTTTTGTACACTTGAAATAATACAAAATTAACTTTGAAGTAACTTTCCAGGAAGATGTAAGGGCTTGTTTTAAGTAAATAATTCCTTAGTATTTTTTAAAAAGAAAGTACTAGTTTCACTTTAACTAATGATAAAACATTTTCCTCTTGTAAGTGAAATAATCTGCCAGTAATTAAGGAACTACTGACTTAAATCAAGCTCCTATATGTTGCTGAAAAGTTATTTGTAAGCTAGTTTTGTCTTAATTCAAGTGTACAAAGATATTTGCTCTAGAAACTACAGTAGACAGAAATACTTTTGTCTTTTTGCAGAGTCTTACTTTGAACCTCTTGGCCAGCAGAGGGAGCCCAAGAGCCGTCAGGGCAATAATTTGAAGCTAGAATGAGGCGACACTTTCTGGATCTGCTGCATCTGTAAAATAATGAAACTTTTTCAAAAGAAATTTGCAAATTAAAAATATCCAATAAATGTCCTCGTTGTAAGGTATGTTAATAGTTTAATTAAATGATGCTAGTTTATCATTTCTGCTGCTGGTCTCAGATTTTACAAGTGCTACAATTGCAAAAAAATATAATAGCTTATTTTCTCTACATGTTTTTTAATTACAGTAGAACATGCAGTTTGACATGCCGTACCTGATAACTAAGTGCATTTATGCAACAACTGATGGGTAGCGTGATCTTTGCTGGATGAAGAGAAACAAAAATATTTTTCACAGGAGTTGGTGTAAACTCACAGATGTTAATTAAAAGATTAAGTAGAGTTGCTCTGGTTTGTTTTCAAAAGGAGCTGCTTTCCTCCCCCAGGAGGAGGTTGATTTATGAAGCTTTATGAGAGTCTACAGTTTACCATTTTTACAGTTTTTAGTGTTGCTGGCTGCAAACACCATTCAAGTTCTTCTATGCCCTGCAAACACACAAAATATTACCAAGTCTTTTTGGTCTAGTTTCTGCTGTAAATATCTTAGCACACTTCGAATAAGAGGAAAACTAATGTACAAGTACATTTTCAGCAAGATATCAGAGCTTGTTTTACGTTAATAATTCCTTAATATTGATGAAAAAGTATTAGTTGTAAGTGAAGTAACTTGCTAGTGTAAAAGTAAAAGTCCTGAAAAGTTACTTGTTAGTTTAATAATATATTTGCACTAGAAATTAGAAAAAGAAATACTTGGTAATATTTTGTGTCTTTGCGGTGTGAACACTGTATCTGAAATCCACATGGCCGGTATGTAAATAAAGTAAAATACAACATGATAAATGTTGTTATATTCTCAGCCAGACATAAAATAACTAACAAAATATTGGGATATTTAAAGTGAGATTTCTTGATTCTTTAGACTCAACCTGGAATAATAAACACCAAAGAAAGCATTTCATTATGCAAAGAAAAAGGAAATGATTAAAGGGAAACAACGGCCTTGTCAAATATTTCAACCTCATCAAAACTTAAAAGGAAAGAAGCATGATGGGAAAAGGCTAAGTTGTGATTTGTGACCTTTGAGGTTCAGGAAAGCTCTTTTTTTGCTTCTCTCACCAGATACTGTGCCAGGTAATTATGTTCTAAGTTGCTTTATTACTGCCAGCTCAGCTGCAGCAGTATAAGAGCTTTTCAAACCCACGCACACACACACATGCACACGCACACACATGCACACACACAGAGCCAAGCAGGCAACCCCTTGAAACACTCCGTGTTTATCCACTGCAGTGAAGTTACTAAAGATAAAACCAACTAGCTCTAGAATAATGCAGCAAAACACATTCCAGAAATGTTTTACTTCAAATCTGTTTTTGTTATTAGGATGTCCAAGAAATTTATCATAAACCTTCAGTGGAAATAAATTGCTGCAGTGACTGTTCTGAAATGTTGTTTTGTACCCCTGGACTGCTGCTTCTGCGTAAATTTCCTTCCTGGACGAAGGTCACTGACCAGATTGAGAATTTAAAAAACTCAGTAAGATATAAACTATCTGTCTGCTTTTTATTTTATTTTATTTTTATTAAACAGTCTTCAGAATTGGTGTTATGTAAACATGAATGTTGCTTTATTTTTAACTGCTACTACTTTTTGGCTGCACTGTGCGGTGAATTTAATCCCGCAAAAACCTTACAATAAGAGGATGAACGCAATGTGGCTGACAGTAGCATATGGGAACAGTGCCCTCTTGTGGTGAACGGGGTAAGTGCAACATAAAAACAACAGAACAGAAATATCCTTTATTTGCCCCAATAAAGGGGAAATTTCTACGCAAAGGCAGCAAAGTGACACAAACACAAAGATAGGAAATATATAAAAACAATAGAGAATAAGTTCATACGTAGTAAATTAATAAAAAACTAAAAACTGAACCGTTTTATCTATTTCAAAACAATTTCTGTTGTTGTAATAATCAGCCGTGACCAAATTGTATTTATTTGATTTAAAGTTGAAGAGTCTTCTTGTTCCATGATGAAATTAGCTTCTTAGGAGAAAATGACAACGAATGTTCTTGTTCTTCTCATTGAAAACATATTCAGTCTTTTAGTTATTCTCAGATTAAATGTAACGTTTAAAATGCAAACTGTGGCCTAAGAGTCTGAGATGGAGATGCTGAGGGTTTGCATTCGGTTCAGAAAAGCAAACGGACAGAAAGTGTTTGTTAAAGAGATAATATTAATAGCTAATTGGAAAACCTTTTTCCAATTTGACGTCGTCTTTGTGCGATAAGACTGGATTATTTTAATAATCTTCTGATCCATAAATCCTTAGAATTAAGTATCTATTTTATGTAATTTCTGAATGTGTTTACTTTCTTGCCTAATTGTTTGCTGTGCTAAAATATAAGTAGTCTTGTCATTTTATGATGCACTAATGTCCATTTCAGTGGTCTGTGTGCATTTATAACATAAAAATCCACAGGAATTTTAGAAAGCTGTCCACTGTAATGACCACTATGCATGAAAGGGTTAATACATACATTAAATTACTGTACACTCAAAAAATGAATCATTGACTTAACATATTTTTTTTTATGTCAACAGGTTCCACATAATTGAATTATGCTAAGTGAAAGCAAAACAGATATAGTAATCTGACTTAACTTTATGCTTAACTAAGATAAAATTAATTAATTAACCCAACTAATTCAAATCACTCCAGAATGACAAAATAGAAGTTAGTTGAACTAACTTAACTTTTTTGTGTTAGTCTGACAAAGCAAACACTCTTCCAGTGGACTTATATTTCATTTGTTCACTAAACAAAAACAAATTATGTTACTTTAACAACTAAAATTTGCTTTCCATCAACCGATATGTTTTTTTAATATAACTCTTTTTTTTCTTATTATGTTAACTAAATTCAAGTTTGTCGACAGGTTCCACACAAATTAATTAAGTAGGTTTAATTTAATTTTGTTATGTTCTTTATTTAACAACACATTACATTATTTTAACAGTGACAAGAACATAAACTGACAAACGATAAAATTTCAACGTCAAATATCTCATATTTGACAACATCAGACCTATAATTTATGGCTCATTTAAAGCCGCAAAACTTCTGCAGTGCTGCAGGTTATTGAAATGACACTGACTTGATGTATGTTTTTATTGAGAAAACCAGATAAATGTGAATTATCTCATTAAGAGTGACAGTTCTTTATTAAACTGCTTCATGTTTTATTGTCGTCAGATGAAATTTCCTGTTGTGTCGCAAAAGAAAAACTCCTGAATCTCTAGTTCCTGTATTTGCTCACACAACAGAAACCACTCTGATGATACTCTAGGGTCCTTCAAGTCTCTACTCTCATTCCCCAGTTTCACTTGGTTTCCCACAATTCTCTGACTCTTCTTTTTCTTCTTAACACAAGCTAAGTTTTTACTGTGACGTCAGGGAACCACTTAGTTTCTCTCATCACAGCAGCGTCCGAAAGCGCAGCAGGGAGGCCAGACAGACCTTATGGTCAAAGTCACGTCAATGTCAGAGGCTGAGTCTGCCAAACGCCACAGTCCAACCCTACAGGTGAGGCCTCGTTCCAGCCTCCAGGTTGGCTAAACTACAGAAAAAATGTTTGCTAGGCTGAGCTCTGGTGTACTTTTCAAGGTTGATTCAAAAAAGTCTGCTCTGTATCAAACTTGCCTTTGATAGGATGTCAGATTTCTACTAAAGAATCGTTGGAGAAC